AAATTTAATACACTGTGAAAACGGTTGATGAACACAAAACATACTGCTGCACATTCGGCTTCGATCGACCGAGCGTCATCAGTGCATCTCATCTCTCTGCATCATATTGCTCCATGTTTGTGCAGATGTCCTACATCGACCGATCTAGTCACCGGTGTTGTCCTCATAGTCTCATTGTTATTGTTTTTATTCTTGTTCAGTTATTTATCGCACAGCATCACATTTGGCTTTCCGCGGACGGCAACGGAATCCTCGTCCTGCTGCCTGGGTATCCACTGCTCAACCTGACTCTCACCTCGTTCATGTTTGTCTGTGTCTGTCACGAGGTGCATCAACTAACCCGTCGATTGCAACGATTGCTCGTCCCGAACGGGCCGCTTCAGGCGTTGCGCAACTCGCTTCTGATCGGTGTTATTCTCCACGGTATCACTCACTCCAGTTGGCGTCTGTCCGGATAGGAGAATGGCATTTGGTCCTTTAGGAAACCAAGTGGCTAGTTTCCCGTTCTATCCGATGATACCGACAATCTGCGGACATTCAGATCAGAAATCACATTCTCTCCATTCAGGCTGTGAATAATAGGCCCACCTTTTTACATATCACACACCTCGGTGTTACTTGTTACACCATTCCCCGTTGTTTAACTGTATTCGTGTTGGTGACTTTCGTTTTACTATTACATTACTTGTTTATTCTGTGCTCTGTGGTGTTTTGCCCCGGGGGTTCATAATCAAGAAGCTTAGCAGTCGATAATCGGACAAAATTATCATTTGAGTTTCTCCAACTCCTTCGTTAGTCCGTGCTCAAACGACTTTGGCAATTTTAACAGCTTACTGGCGTATGATGAAAATTCAAAAGTCTGTTGGATAAGTAAAGCACTTTTCACCAATAAATAAGCATTTTCGTTCAGAGCACCTTTGTAGTCAATTAATCCAAGTTTTCACTACCCCAGATTGACCACCCGTGTTCTCACGCTCTTTCTGTGTTGAAACAAGGCAAACCTCTGTCTTTTCGAGCTCGTTGACGGACATCGATTGGGCGTGAGTGACACAGCGATTTGCGCGAGACAGCTAAGCTCTATCCGACTGGTTAGATACCAAGGGTGACAAGTACTGTTTCCTGCGCGCTGCAGCTAAGGCCCAACTAGCCGTAGTTGTTCAAACCTAGATACGCAACATTTCATAAGCTAAGGTTTGTCTTAGTGCAATATGTGTTGAAAAGTATCACTCTCAAGACTCCTCATGGCGAGCTGGTAGAACCGAATTCCCTCAAATGATTTATTTCTTTTTTTGCTCCTCCTGTTAACCAAAACAGGTCTCTAGTTCGTCATGTAACTAAATCTGTCCATAAATCAGCTGAATCCAGAGGAGTGTCTTAATCTAACTTCAGATCTGTTGTGTTACCAATATCATATGGTCGCATGAAACTAGCCCCTTGGGAATTCTGTTGCAGCAGTATTTTCTACGGATGTGCTATACGGTTCTTTTGTTTTTCAAAGAGTGAACTGGGAGGGGTTTGAGTTTCTGTTATGTTACGTTTAGTGTGATTCACTTTTGCAGTTGTAACATTTTTTAGCATCGATAACCGGATTGCCACGACGAGGTTTGTTTTAACCACCAAGCGTCTCTTGACGAGGATCTGTTGAAGATTTTTTCTCAACTCTAGGAACAAAATCAAGATGCACAATCGCCTTCGGTGAGTGATACACGTTGCTCCAACCTCTTTACTCCGTTCTGCTCTGTCTAAGAACACGTAATAATTAGCTTTTGAGCAACACTTTGACTGCTAGCTAGGTATTTTATTGTAATGTAGTCTATTATTGTGATAATTTCTATGGACCCAGTACAATCTAACTTTGCCGATTCATTGTCATTGATCAGTTTCACTCACACAACCTTTTTCTGAGTCCAGTCCATCCGTCCCCGTGGACGCATTACGGATGAAGTTTCAGCTCGCATACAGCAGGTTCGATTGGCATTTGCCGACTTGAGACATCTGTGGCGAAATCTGGCTGTCTGTGAAGGGTGGAGTGTATGTCGCGGCAGTTCGGCCAGTTCTGCTATAAGGATCAGAAACTTGGCCATTAAGAAAACAGGATAGAAATAGACTGTCGGTGTTTGAACACCACTGTCTATGCAGCATTGCCCTTATCTAGTCGGGAAGTCGGATGAGCAATGCAGAGGTCAGGCGCAAAGTTTTAGCTAAATGCGGTCGCCCACTGGAGCAAGTGGTCGACCTGCATAGATTACGTTGATTGGGGCATGTTTTATGCATGTCGCCAGATAGGTTTCCACGGCGAGTAATGTTCACCGAGGCAGGTAGTTGGTGGAAAAAAACCAAGGGTGGTCAAGCTAAGATCTGGTAAGTCCCGTTAAGCTTGCTGCTAGGGACCTCGGAACGATCATAACCGATGATTAAGCACACTGAGTCATATGCCTGCTTGTCGTAAACAGTGGCTTTCGTGCATCTTGTTAATTTCTGAGCAACATTAGTCCACTGAAATTCCAAATTTTCTCTTCGACTCCACTTCCAACCTTCCTGTCTTTCTTCTATTTTTCATCCAAATGGGCAGCCAAAAGACAGTAATCAAAAGCGGCGCGCAAAAGTGCATGGTTAATGGTTGTGTAAACTGAAACTGAAACCAGACATAATGTACAGAGAATCTGTACTCAATTACTAACTGACTTATTAATTAATTCATCTATTTTGGCGCTTACTTATTGTCTGGGGAAGCTCAACCTTCCCCTAGGATTTCCCCACGATATATATCTGAAATGCATTGGGACCAGTCGCCTCCAAGGGGAAAATGTCGGTATTTTCTCGATGTCGCCAGTTTCGTGAATTCAAGGGGAACGGGTAGAATACGGCAATTTGATATCTTCCACTCCCTCTATCGGCACCCTCATAACTTCCTTGTACACGACCCTACTTCAATCATCTTGCGTTCTCCAGATCCAACCTCATCCTCAC